GCTCCAGACCCCTCACCAGCCTCGTTGCCCTTCTCTGGACACGCTCCAGCACCTCAACGTCCTTCTTGTAGTGAGGGGCCCAAAACTGAACACAGTATTCGAGGTGCGGCCTCACCAGTGCCGAGTACAGGGGCACGATCACTTCCCTACTCCTGCTGGCCACACTAGTTCTGATACAGGCCAGGATGCCATTGGCCTTCTTGGCCGCCTGGGCACACTGCCGGCTCATGTTCAGCCGGCTGTCGACCAGCATCCCCAGGTCCTTTTCCGCCGGGCAGCTTTCCAGCCACTCTTCCCCAGGCCTGTAGCGCTGCATGGGGTTGCTGTGGCCGAAGTGCAGGACCCGGCACTTGGCCTTGTTGAACCTCATACAGTTGGCCTGGGCCCATCGATCCAGCCTGTCCAGGTCCCTCTGCAGAGCCTTCCTACCCTCGAGCAGATCAACACTCCCACCCAACTTGGTGTCGTCTGCAAACTGACTGAGGGTGCACTCGATCCCCTCATCCAGATCATTGATAAAGATATTGAACAGAACTGGCCCCAACACTGAGCCAGTACAATGAGAAAGGCTCTCTCAACTGTGATGTACAGAGGCATGCTTCTTTTACCTGCACATTTCACCTTATGTTGATTGCACATATGCTGACTGTAAATCTCTTCCTCTTTCAGTGCAGATCTTATGCGACTGCACCAGTTTTCCAAGGATGATCTCAGACTATATCCCTATTCTTCAAATCATTTTCTGTCACAGGAGAAAGTCCTTCTTCTTCGATACTTCTATATACAAAGAGAGACTAGATATTTTCAAATATTGAATTAGCACTTTAGAAAAGTGAATCCATATTGTCTTATTCATACTCAAAGATTTTAAATTAAAAAAAATAAATCAATAAAATCAATAGAAAAAACACCATTAGCACAATTTTTTAAAAGCTCTACCTGCCTTGTCCTGATATTGCTAGAATTCAAATCTTAAGTAGTGTAAAACTAATTGTGTGTCATATTGTTAGAGTTCTATTATGCAAAATATTCCAAGATCACTGTTAAAAAGACATTTATATCCTAGTCCATAATATTTCAGAGCCTGCATTAAATGTAGATCAAAGATAATGAAAGTACACAAAAGACTATCTGCTAATAAAAGCTGTTTGACTCAAGATACTACCCATCCTGTTAATACACCACAGGAATCTAAAGTCCAAGAGAGAATTTTCATTGAAATCTACTGCTGCAAATGCAAAGCTGTGACTTCATCACAAAAATATTAAAAGGCAGAAAAGCTGCTAGAAAAATAATTAAAAAAATGGCACTTTTCATTTCGATGATAAGATAAAACATGTTTTCTGGCTGAACAGGTAAATATTTCAATTTACTAAGTCTGAAGTATTAGATCTTTTAATTGAAGTGCTGCATTAAATACAAGAGGATGGGATAAAATACTAATATAATAAAGGAATAAAAAGAGAAATTGATCTGCTTGAACAGAACAGTTGGATTCTGTGGAACGATACTGCATATGGGCTACTGAAACAAAGTAAGTAAAATAAGTAGTCAGCATGAACTCACCTTGGTATTTTAAGTTTTTTTCCTCATTATTCTATCTTCAGCACTTGCACTTCCCCATCCCCTTTCAGGGTATTCTGACTGATGTCCTTCCAATAAACTGCTACAAAGTTTAAGCCTACAAATAAAAAAACCTCAAAGACTAAGTGGCTTTATTATGGTAACCTTTTTACACTAAATACAGCTACAACCTGCTATTTACTCTAATACAGACTATAACAGGAGAATCATAGAATGGTTTGGGTTGGAAGGGACCTCTAAAGGTCACCTAGTCCAACCCCCCTGCCGTGGGCAGGGACATCTTCAACTAGATCAGGTTGCTCAGAGCCCCATCCAACCTGACCTTAAACGTTTCCAGGGATGGGGCATCCACCACCTCTCTGGACAACCTGTGCCAGTGTTTCACCACCCTCAGCATAAAAAATTTCTTCCTTATATCTAGCCTGAATCTACCCTCTTTTAGTTTAAAGCCATTCCCCCTTGTCCTGTCACAACAGGCCCTCCTAAAAAGTTTGTCCCCGTCTTTTTTATAAGCCCCCTTGAAGTACTGATGGGCTGCAATAAGGTCTCCCCAAAGCCTTCTCTTCTCTAGGCTGAACAACCCCAACTCTCTCAGCTTTTCTTCAGAGAAGAGGTGTTCCATCCCCCTGATCATTTTCGTGGCCCTCCTCTGGACTTGCTCCAACAGGTCCGTGTCTTTCTTATGCTGAGGG